TGGATACAAGATCTCCACCAAGGATTAAAGCAGATGGATCAAAGCGGGTGATTGTCTCTTGGGTGGCTTGTTCCCGCAAAACAGTTCCACGTTTCTTTGTTTCGACGTTACTTGTTTGAATAAATTATAAAAATTCTATTACCGCTTTTGCCTTCCCTTATTTTTTCATTAGGGTTTCAATTGTGCTATGAAGTATCCCGTCGCCGTTGAATGTGATTTATCGATCTTGAGTCTGTCGTATTTAAGGATAAAATAAAATTGTTTCCAAAAAATTGGAAATGAATTGAGCGGTTAGCCAGCATAAGTCTCTAGAGCGCGCATCTTTCCTGTGTAGTCTGCAATTCTGATTTGTAAAGCTGCTGCTGCTGGCTCTTTTGGTATCACAAAGCGGTAATAGGTATTTGTTCTATGAAAATAACTGCACCAATTGCTCCTGATTTTTGCTTTGTCGCTTCAAATATTGTGTCGGTGATCCCGTGTGTGGGATACTATGGTGTCGTGAAGTGTAATAGCACGAAGTGAGGCAATTAGTCTGAGCGGGAGGATTTCCCTCAGATTTGTCCCGATGATATTGCGTTCTCGAGAGTTGGCTTGGTCGGATTCACGCATGTGATGAGAAGTAATCACAAAATGAAGGATGCTGTGGGGCGTTTTTCGTGCGGCCAAAATGTGAATCCGTCTTGCTTTTGATAGTGATGTTTACTCATCTCTTTTCAAATTCACGCATCAACCTCTTCTGTGAATGTTATTAGTTGCTGTTGCGTTTGAATAAACAGTTATTGGGCCAAAATGTGGGTGCATGCAACGCTTCAATACTGAAATGGGAAGTGGAGAGAAGTGTCAACAAGGGAAGGGTTTTCCCGTAAGTTATGAAAAATTTGAGGTAAGAATTCCCGTAGTGGGAAGGGTCTTATTTCCCGGGGTGAATACCGACTACATCGCGGGGAATATTATCAGAGGTGGTGTTCAATCCAGTGAAAACGTGTGGTCCAACTGAGTAAAGAGTAACCTTAACAATCTCACGTGGAGAGCCTCATTCGTAGTGTTGGATTGAGCAAGAAGTCCTGCAATTATATTTTTGCACTCAATTTCTTATTTAAAGGTATAAGGCACGACAATCTTGTACTTGCTCAAGATTAGTTAGCAGGGGAGCCAGGGGAATTGGGAAAATGACGAGAAGGCGAAGTGAAGTAGTCAAAATCCTGCGAGAAAACTTTTGTCATGCACGGCGCTGGAAGAGCATTTTTGGACGAGTTTCCCGTTGGCATTGTGCCGAAATCGCTTTAGTTGTTGCGGCTGCACGTATGTATTCATATATCCATGTAGCAACGCTTCATATCAATTGTACTTCATAAATGAAGCGATAAGAGTACCAGCATCGATGCGACTGTGCGGACAATTGTGGGCGGGCGGCTACGGTGGCGTACGAGTCGGCATGTTGCGGCTGGTAGGGCTCTATCGGGGCACCCTTATTGGAAATGTGCCTTGCAGGGGCCCCGAGTTCAGTCCTACTAGGCGCATTTATCTTACACGCCTTGTATTCGTCCTGCCACTTGCGTTTAGTGCTCAGTGAACAAATGGGCCGGTGGTGTTATAGCTGAAAAGATTATTTTCTGCGTCAGGGGCAATCAGTCGCGCGATTGTCATTCCGATGCAAAGTACTCACTTTGTACGGAATCTGGATGGACATCACTTTGCTGTGACTACAGCTTAAAAACGTCTAGCAACGGCCACTCAAGTGTCGTATGCATTCCGTGACAATGGGCGTATCTATAAGAGCGTCGCACAGGCTCCATCCTTGGAGTCAGTGGACTGGCTTCACTCTAGCGAAATGTCTCTTTACTTGTGTAGTAGGAACAATCAGTTGACAGTCTAGCGGAATATGGTCACTCTTAAACACAGCATAGATACGAACCGTGACATCGGATGCGACATGGCCTTAGAAGACGATGGTCCAGTTTGGCTTTGGCTTAGCGAAGTCACGATTGTACTACAGTAAGATTGCGCGCACCTATAGACCCTTCTTGGGCGGGTATTGTATCCAGGAAATTCAATGACAATCTCTCCGGATTCTTGATCGAAAAATAATTTCGTGGAAGACTTCTCAGACTACCAGATTCGTTCCAGCCCCACTGTTCATGGTATAAAATGGTTTGCCTTATCAAAACGGTTTTCTGACCTCTCAAAACTTATGTGTTATGTCTTCTTGTAGTCATTAGTTCCACCTTGCAATTATCTAGAATTTCACTTTATTATCAGAATTTGTAGAACAAAGTGTAACTCCATAGTTTATTCCAAAAGGCTCCAGAGGCATCAAAACTTTAAAAACTTTTTAAATATATTGTCTTGCAAATTTCGATGCGTAGCACTTTCGTCACGCCTGAATACTTACATTTGCTTTTAATTAGACACCGTGCCTACTACAAAAATACAACTACTTGTTACCAGAGTGATTGCTTGCAAAAAGACCACACCTAGGAATACAGCTCTGATCGATTTGACCTTAAAATTGTTTTTTTATCCTTTCAACTAATATATTGGAGAGTATGAGTGAACGATATGTCACTCTGTACACAACAGTCAAATGGAATGACGCTTTCGGAGCGCTCAAATAGTATAGTCGCCTGTGGACCACCCAACCTTTTTACGAAGAAAATATAGATGATATTGCTGCGACGAGTTTTAGGAACAAAGAGGGTTCCTGGCATAGCAGTGAGATCACCCCTATATATAATTCGCTTCGTCTGTTTGTTTGTTTGTTTGTTTGTAAGTTTGTAAGTTTGTTTGTCTGTCCGGAAATTCGGTTCGACCTGAAGAACGACTTGGAGAGGTCGGGTCAAGGTGGGGATGGGTAGGGCATGGGACAAGAAATAAAAAGCACACTTGACCTATGGGCCCACAGTGGGCGGGGCACTCGCCGAAAGTTTGGGGTTCCGCAGAAAAATGTTCATAATTCGCTTCCGGAGCAGCTTAAAGATGGGGAAAAAAGGGAATAAGGTTAGTAAGGAGTCGCCAGA